GTTCCAGCTGGGGTCGGGTGCCACCAGGGCTGAGGACAGCCTGGGGACAAGAAGGCTCAGGGTGAACCCCAGCAGGACCACAGGAGGCAGCCAGGTGAGGTTGGGTCCTGTTTCCTGAGGCTGAGGGGAGGTTTAGGGTGGATACTGGGGAAATTCCTTCCTGGAGGGGGCTGTGCAGCCCTGGCACTGCTGCTCCCGGCAGGGCTGGAGTCCCCATCCCTGGGGGGATTAACAGATGTGTGTATGTGGCATTTGGGCACATGGTCTGGGGTGGCCTGGGCAGTGCCATGAGCAGTGCTAGACTCACTGGGCTCAGAGGCTTTTCCATCCAACCCAACCATTCCATGGTTCCTTGATGTCCAGTCGCATCTTGGCAGCTCCTGGCACTCTCCTTGGCAGCTCCAGCCCTGGCCAATATTTCTGTCTGCACATTCTCCCTCGGGAAACATTCCCTGCTCTTCTTTTGCTTCTCCCAGGCCTCTCCTGTTTGAGAGTCTTAAGAGCAGCTTTTAAGGGTTTTAAGGTGGCACCAGCAAAAGGAGGTTTGAAATAAAAGCAAAAGCATGACAAGGTTTGTGGGCAAAGCTCACTCAGTGGTTAAAGCACACAGAGACAAAAATCTAAAGCTAAAATCACCCTGGTCTGACTCACCCAGATCTAAAGGGTGAAGGATCCCAGGGGAAAATCCCAGAAGTCACAGCCCAAACAGAGAGCTGAGGAGCAGGCCAGGGGCAAGTGCTGCGTGCACAGGAGGGCTCGGGGGATGCACAGGGACAGGGTTACACTGTGAGAAATGCCCTGGGAGCTCAGGGAAGGGCACAGGGACAGGGTTACACTGTGGGAAATGTTCCAGAAGCTCGGGAAGGGCTCAGGGGATGCACAGGGACAGGGTTACACCTGTGAGAAATGCCCTGGGAGCTTGGGAAGGGCATGGGGGATGCATAGGGGCAGGAACAGGGTTACACCTATGAGAAATGCCCTGGGAGCTCAGGGAGGGCTCGGGGGATGCATAGGGGCAGGGACAGGGTTACACCTGTGAGAAACACCCCAGGAGCTTGGGAAGGGCATGGGGAAGGGCTCAGGGAAGGGTCAGTGCCTCTGCTCCTCTGCAGGGCTGAGCCCCAAGGGCCGGGGGAGCAGCCCAGGATCCAAGCACAGCCAAGGTGAGGCCTCTCCCAGGGAATGCCAGGCACAGCCCAGGGGCAGAAGAGCTCCAAGGCTCCCAGGAAGCGTTTGGAGGTCACAGGAGAGAGGGTGGACTTTGGCCATGGCCGTTTTCCATCTTGGCTGCGATTCAGGCTGGGAGATCTCTGAAAGTTCTACACAGAAAATGTTCCACTTGTGTTGTTGTTCAGGCAAGAAAAATAAGTTCCCAAGGCCGTTTGTTAAAGGAGGAGCTTGTTATCGATGCAGCCAGAATTCCTGGGAGCAGACTGTGCTCCTGATAAGCTCGGGAGGAGCTTGGCAAGCAGGTGCTGCTCGTTGGGGATTGATTGCATTTCTGAGCTCACAGAGCAGTGTGTGGGGTGCAGCACCTCAGGTCCAGCTCCTACCTATCTGTTGCTGGGGCTCCACATCCCACTGCTCTGTTCCTGGGGGTCCAGATACAGCCTTTCCTGTCCCAGGGCTGCCTGTCTGTCCCCTGTTCCTCTCCCAGGACTGCCCAGCTCCCTCTCTGTCCCCAGGTCCCTCTNTGGAGGGTTTGGGGGTGCCATGGTGGGGCATTGGGGTTCCTGAGCCAGGAGCACACAGAAGGTTTAAGGGTGCTGGGATTGGGGCACAGGGAAGGTTTGGGGGTGCCATGGTGGGGCATTGGGTTTCCTGAGCCAGGAGCACACAGAAGGTTTAAGGGTGCTGGGATTGGGGCACAGGGAAGGTTTGGGGGTGCCATGGTGGGGCATTGGGGTTTCTGAGCCAGGACCACACAGAGGGTTTAGGGATGCTGAGATTGGGGGTCCATGGAAGGTTTAGGGGTGCCACAGTGGGGGCACTTGGTGGGGCAGGTTTGGGGGTGCTGAGCTAGGAACACACAGAGGGTTTAAGGGTGTTGGGTTGGGGGCACATGGAAGGTTTGGGGTGCTATGGTGGGGATGGGTATAGGGGTGCTGAGCCAGGGGCACGCAAAGGGTTGGGAGACGCTGAGTCAGGGGGCACATGGAAGGTTTGGGGGTGCCATGGTGGGGGCACTTGGTGGGGTGGGTTTGGGAGTGCTAGGCCAGGGAGCACACAGCAGGTTTGGAAGTGCCAGGCTGAGGGGGCAGATCTGGGATGCTGCACCACAGAGGTTTTGGGGCAGGTTTGGAGCTGGGTTGGGTGACAGGGCAGGTTTGGGGGTGCCGAGCCAGGAGCACACAGAGGGTTTA